CTTAGTCAGTTCAGGCTGCTATAACAGAATACCATCGACTGGATGATTTAAATAATATACATGTATTTCTTACAGTTCTGAAGTCTGGGGACCAAGATCAAAGGATGGGAAGATTCAGTGTCTGGTGAGGGCCTGCTTCCTGGTTCATTGACTGTCTTCTTGCTGTGACCTCACTTGGCAGAAAGAGGGCTAGAGAGTTCTCTGGGGGCCGGGCACTATGGCTCACACCTGTAATACCAACATTTTGGGAGACCAACGCAGGAGGATTGCTTGAGGCCAGGAATTCAAGACCAACCTGGGCAACATAGTGAGAACCTGTAGGTCCAGCTACTTGGGGGCTGAGGCAAGACCATCGCTTGAGGCCAGGAGCTCAAGGCAGCAGTAAGCTATGATCATGCCACTGCACTGCAGCCTGGGTGACAGAGCAAGACCCTGTCTCTAAAAAAATAAAAATAAAATAAGATGATAAGAGAGCTCTTTGGGGGTCTCTTTTGTAAGGGCATCCAACACCTAATCACCTGACCTAATTGCCCCCCAAAGGCCCCATCTCCTAATACATACCATGGGGGTTAGGATTTCAACGTAAGAATGTTGTAGGACACAAACATTTATTCCATAACAAGGACATTTGGTGAAGGCCTTCTGGGAAAGGTTTCCTCACTGCTAGGTGAGAGCGATGTAAACAGCAGTATCTCTTTTTCCTGGGAATGTTGTCAAGTCTGAGGGTGTCCTGGAACTGCTGCAGCTGTTTTGCTAACACCTGAGGATGGAGCCATCTGTAAAGATGGCAGAGCGGAGAGCTGGAAGGAGTCTTTGACCTTTAGGGCACTCGATCTGCCAACCCTGAAAGCCACACTAATGCTGAACTTCCTTACACAAGGGAAATTAAACCATTGTCACTGTTGGAGCCATTGCCAGTGGGTTTCTGTTATAGCAGAAAGCATGTTTATTGTTACAAACAGAGCAGCATTAAGACTTTTGTGGGCCCCTTCCTATGTAAACTTTTTTTTTTTTTTTTTTTTAGAGACAGAGTCTCACTCTGTCGTCCAGGCTGGAGTGCAGTGGCATGATCTCTGCTTACCACAACCTCCACCTCCCGGGTTCAAGCGATTCTCCTGCCTCAGCCTCCCGATTAGCTGGGACTATGGGCACGCGCTACCATGCCCGGCTAATTTTTGTATTTTTAGTAGAGATGGAGTTTCACTATGTTGGCCAGACTGGTCTTGAACTCCTGACCTCGTGATTCTCCCGCCTTGGCCTCTCAAAGTGCTGGGATTACAGGCGTGAGCCACTGCGCCCGGCCTGTAAACATTTTTTTAACATTATATTTTATGACTGCATTAGCACAAAATAAATTATATTAATATTATTTATTAAAACATCTTTGCCAGGCGCAGTCAAGCCTGTAGTCCCAGCTACTTGGGAGGCTGAGGCAGGAGGGTCACTCAAGCCCAGGAGTTTGAGGCTGCAGTGAGCTACTATCAGGCCACTGCACCCCAGCCTGGCCGACAGAGCAACTCTGTCTCTTAAACAGGCTGTGTGCAGTGGCTCACGCCTATAATCCCAGCACTTTGGGAGGCCGAGGCGGGTAGATCACTTGAGGTCAGGAGTTCGAGACCAGCCTGGCCAACATGGTGAAACCCCGTCTCTACTAAAAATACAAAAATTAGCTGGGTGTGATGGTGTGCACCTGTAATTCCAGCTACTCGGGAGGCTGAGGCAGGAGAATCGCTTGAATACAGGAGGTGGAGATTGCAGTGAGCCAGGATCATGCCACTGCACTCCAGCATGGGTGACAGAGCGAGACTCTGTCTCAAAAACAAGCCAAAAATCCTTTGACTTAAAAGTTTGTTTTTTCTTCTGATTTAAAGGGAATTGTATTAGAGTGTTCTTGTACTGCTAGAAAGAAATTCCTCCAGCCTGGGCAACATAGAGAAACCTCATCTCTACCTAAAATTACAGAAAAATAAAAAATTAGCCTGTTGTGGTGGTGTGTGCCTGTAGTCTCAGCTACTGGGGAAGCGGAGATGGGAAGATTGCTTGGACCCAGGAGGCAGAGGTTGCAGTGAGCTGAGATTGTTCCACTGCACTCCAGCCTGGGTGACAGAGCAAAATCCTGTCTCAAAAAAAAAAAAAAAAAAAAAGAAAGAAAGAAAGAAGAAAGAAATACCTGAGACAAGAAAGAAGTTTTGGCTGGGCACAGTGGCTCATGCCTGTAATCCTAGTACTTTGGGAGGCTGAGGCAAGAGGATCACTTGAGCCCAGGAGTTTGAGACCAGCCTGGGCAACATGGCAAGATCCCATCTCAATTATTTTAAAAAAATGAAAAAGAAATAGAGAAGAGGTTTAATTGGCTCATGTTTCTGCAGGCTGTACAGGAAATGTAGTGGTATCTGCTTCTGGGAGGCCTCGGGAAGCTTCCAATCATGGTGGAAGGTGAAGGGAGAGCAGGCCTATCACATGGGGAAAGCAGAAGCAAGAGGGCGGGGCAGGGCAGGGGAGGTGCCACACCCCTTTAAATGACCAGATCTTGCAAGAACTCACTCACTATTGTGAGGACAGCACCAAGAGGATGGTGCCAAACCATTCATGAGAAGTTCACCCCCATGATCCAATCACCTGCTACCAGGTCCCACCTCGAACACTGGGGATTGCAATTTGACATGAGATTTGGGTGGGGACAAACATCCAAACCATATCAGGAATTAAAGCATTTTTGTCAGCCCTAAAAGTACTGGGGCACTCGTGTCTCTACTGTGCCTAGTGGATGGGCTGGTCCTGGTTACAGCTCCCAAATACGTACCTCCAGCCCACACCTCTGTTTTGACTTTCGAGCTCCCATGTCCAACTGTCTTTTGGATAATTCCCCTTTGGTGTCTTACTCAAATCCAACATGTCTCAAGCTGAACACGCTTTCCCCCAAATCTTTTCTTTGCCCAGCATCCCCTGTCTGAGTGAAATATGTACTACCCAGCTAGTTGCACCAGCCAGAAACCTGGACCTCAACCTCTCCCTCACCCCGTAGCCATATCCAGTCACCAAGTGCTGCCAATTTTCTCTCTTACATGGCTCTTGAAAGCATCCACTTCTTTACATTTTCACTTCTATCTCTACTGCTGTTGTCCTAATCTGCATTACCAGCGTCTCTTGCTTGGATTACCACCATGGACCCTAGTGGTCTCCCTGCATTTCACTCTCCATGCAATCATTTATCTACACTGTCCCAGAAGAATCTTTTCCAACTGCTTAAAACCTACTGATGGCTTCACCTCATTATTTCTCTGTTTAAAACCAGCTGATGGCTTCCTGTTGCTCTTATAACAGAGATCTAAAACTTCAGGGAGGCCTTCAAGGCCTTGTCTAGCCTGGCCTCTGCCCCATCTTGCTCAGCTCTCTTCTTACCCTGCTTCAGCCACATGATCTTCTCTCAAACACACAGGCTCCCTCCTGGTGCAGGACCTTTGCACATGATACTCATCTTAGTCCATTTGGGCTGCTATAACAAAATTCCATAGACCAGGTAGCTTATAGAACAAAAGAACTTTATTTCTCACAGTTCTAGAGGCTGGGAACTCCAAGATCAGGGTGCTGGCAAATTTGGTGTCTGGTGAGGGCCCTCTTCCTGTTCACAGATGGCGCCTTCTTGCTGTGTCCTCACATACTGGGAGGGCAAACAAGCTCCCTTGAGCTTCTTTAATATGAGCACTAATCCCATTCATGAGGAACCCTCGTGATCTGTTTCTCTCCCAAAGGTCCCCCACCCAATACCTTTCACCTCGGGAGTTAAAATTTTAACATATGAAACTTAAGGGACACAAACATTCAGACCATAGCAATATTCTTCTATTTTCTACTCCTTCAGCTCAAAGCTTCTCAAGGAAGCTTTCTCTGACCGTAGTCTAGGTCAAGTATCACTAACTATGTGGCATTAGGAAAGTTTCTTTTATTTATTTATTTAATGAGACAGGGGCCTTCCTCTGTCGCTTAGGCTGGAGTGCAATGACGCGATCGTGACTCACTACAGCCTTGAACTCCTGGGCTCAAGAGATGCTCCTGCCTTGGCCTCCCAAGGTGTTGGGAATACAGGTGTGAGCCACTGTGCCTGGCACAGGGAAGTTTCTTTACTGCATGGTGCCTCCGTTTTCTCATCTGTAAAATGAAGATATAATAATGCCTAACTTACAGGTTTGTTGTGAGGATTAAACAGAATGTCACGTGTGAACTGCTGTGAGGGCAGCTGGTGCAGTGCCTGCTTGCCTAGTTGTCCTGGCCCCTGGCTAGCTCTCTAGAGGGGGACAGTGGTGGAGAGATCCCACCCAATTAACACTAGCGGGAGATGTTGGGGTGATATAGGTTCTAAAATGTGAGGATTTCAGGGAAGGGCATCTCTACAAGGGCACAGAAGATTTCTGAGTTAACTGAGTGAAAGCAAAGAGCTAATTGTGCCAGGGAGTCATTGACAACGCCTGGGGTTGGGCTGGGGTACTCGGAGAAAGAGGTCAAGAGAACTCACAAAGGTCAAGGAGAAAGGGGAGATGAGTGGCAGTATACCACATTTCTGTCAAATCTCTTTTTTTTTTTTTTTTTTTTTTTTGAGACGGAGTCTCGCTCTGTCGCCCAGGCTGGAATGCAGTGGCGCGATCTCGGCTCACTGCAAGCTCCGCCTCCCGGGTTCACGCCATTCTCCTGCCTCAGCCTCCCGAGTAGCTGGGACTACAGGCGCCCACAACCGCGCCCGGCTAATTTTTTGTATTTTTAGTAGAGACGGGGTTTCACCGTGGTCTCGATCTCCTGACCTTGTGATCCACCCACCTCGGCCTCCCAAAGTGCTGGGATTACAGGCGTGAGCCACCGCGCCCGGCCATTCTGTCAAATCTCTGAGTAGCCCAGAGGTCTCTATGTCAAGCAAATCTGGGCTGTCATCCCTAGCCTGTCATTTATGAGCTGGAGGAGGAGGAAAGTCATGTCACTTCTCTGTGTTTCAGTTTTTTTTTTTTTTCTTCCATTCCACAATCACATCCTTTATTTCTATTCTTATTTTCAAGATAGTATTAAGTGTCCATATTTCTTAAGCCACATTCAAGGAAAACATGTCTTAGCTATTTTGGATGTTGCCTCTCCTTCATCTTGCATATGAAACTCCAGCAGATTTAATATTGGCATCCATCATCTAGTCAAACCTCTCACATGTTCTGTAAACCAATCAAATTTGGGATTCTCAACATTTTCTGTGTCAATAAAAGGTGTGGAATTAGTAGATTCGACGAAGCCTGTTTTTCCTTGCCACATTGGACTTCCAGACGCCATGTGGATTGGGTGTAGAAGATGGGGAAGTTTAGATGTTTCTTGGCCTGAGTCTTTTGACAGTAGAGATGTAGAAGAGAGAGTGAGACCACGAAGAGACTGGCTGTTGACTGCAGGGCACCACCAACCGCCTTGGTGGTGGCATTAGCTGGATTTGGGGCCGTTGAAGTACTCTGGGAGGAGTTACTTGAAACTGTTACAACAGTTGTTTGATTGGAATAAATCTGCGTGGGTAGGAGCAGTCCCAGCAGCAGCAGCCCCAGCCCGAGCCTGGTCACCATTGCTCTGCCCATGTCCCCTCTGTCGGTGTGCGACGTGTCTCGCTGGATGCTGGGTGCTTAGAGAACCGCTGGCTCCAGGCGGGCGCAGGCAAGGTCTGTTTTCTTACCTATAAAATTGAGCTAATGAATTGACTTTGCAGGGGGAAGGATTAAATGGGGCTATATTAGTTTGCTCGAGCTGCCTAATGGCTTGAGCTGAGATGTTGGTCTTCTTTGGCCCTTAGACTGGGACTTACACCATCAGTGCTTCTGGTTCTCAGGCCTTTGGACTGAAGCTGAAATCTGTATCGCTGGCTTTCCTGGGTCTCCAGCCTGAAGATAACAGATCACAGGACTTTGCAGCCTCCATAACTGTATGAGTCATTTCCTTATAATACATCTCATTGTACTCTCTCTCTCTCTCTCTGTGTGTATATACGTGTGTATATACACATGTATATACACACACACAGTATATATATACACATATATACACACACACATATGTATACACACACACACACACACACACACACACACACACTGTGCCAGGCCATGTTTTGTTTCTTCTGATCTACAGATGATTAATTGCATATCTAATATTCATTTTTTCCCTTCTTCGTTAGGAAAAATTTACGGGCCATATGTCTAGAGGAAAAATTTTACATCCTAACCTCTCTTTTAGATAGGGTGGCCAATAAGCTGTAAGCAGTAGGGCTTCCAGAGAAGCCCTTTCACTGAAATTCTCTTACTTTCATCTCCCTGCCCAGAACTATGATATGATGGCTGGAGTGCCAGTAGCCACATTTTAACCTTGAAGATAGAAGCTGCATAAAGAATGGTGAAGCACAAAAATAGAATCCTAGGTGACTTTCTAGAGCATACCAGTCTTAGACTGCGTGCCTCTGGAATTCTCTTACGTGTGAGAATAAATTTGTACAAGCCATCATAGTTAAATCTCTATTACTACTCACCAACTACAATCCCTAATAAATAAACATGCCCCCGCCTTTCTGCCTACTCAGCCTAGAGTTCCAGGAACTTTTTTTTTTTCTTTTTTCTTTTTTTTTTAGACACAGCCTTGCTCTGTCATCCAGGCTGGAGTAGAGTTTGCAATCTTGGCTCACTGCAGCATCTGCCTCCTGGGTTCAAGCAATTCTCGTTCCTCAGCTTCCCAAGTAGCTGGGATTACAGGCGTGCACCACCACACCCGGCTAATTTTTGTATTTTTAGTAGAGACAGGTTTCACTATGTTGGCCAGCCTGGTCTCGGACTCCTGACCTCAGGTAATCTGCAGGACTTGGTCTCCCAAAGTGCTGGGATTACAGGTGTGAACCACCGCGCCCAGCCTCTAGGACTTTAAGTGGGCATTTCTATGAACATCCAATCATTCCTGAAGAAAAAAGGTGCTTATTACACCATATGGTGTAAGAACAAAAATCACTTTCTTTTTTTCTTGGAGACAGAGTCTCTCTCTGTTGCCCAGGCTGGAGTGCAGTGGCATGATCATGGCTCACCGTAGCCTTGACCTCCCAAGTTCAAGCAATCCTTCCGCCTCCGTCTCCCAAGTAGCTGGGACTACAGAAGCTTGCCACCATGCCCGGAACATTTTTGTGTTTTTTTTGTAGAGACTGGGTTTTACCATGTTGCCCAGGCTGGTCTTGAACTCCTAGGTTCAAGTGATCTGCCTGCCTTGGCCACCCAAAGTGCTAGGATTACAGGTGTGAGCCATCATACTTTCCTTTTTTTTTTTTTTTTTTTTTTTGAGGTGGAGTCTTGCTCTGTCACCCAGTAGCTCCTTATGCACCACCACTCCTGGCTAATATCTGTATTTTTAGTAGAGACAGGGTTTTGCTGTGTTGGCCAGGCTGGTCTTGAGACTCCTGACCTCAAGTCGTCATCTGCCTCAGCCTCCCAAAGTCCTGGGATTACAGGTGTGAGTCACCAAGCCTGGCCCAAAGATTACTTTCTATTCCACTTTATATCCCCAGTGCCTATGTCATTCTTGGCCCATTACTCAATAAATGCTGGGTAAAAAAATGAACAGATGAATGGATGGATGCTTAATCAAAATATTGAAGAAGAAGAAGAAAGTGCCAAATATTAATGTATTGCTTCATAGCTCTAGAGTCATCATTTTTTGCCCTGCTTTGTCATACTGGATGGTAGGACTGGGAGGCAAAATTCTAACTTGAGTCAACAGAGTAAAGAATCATGGACATTCACCCAGTTTCCAGAAGTAAGCCAGTTTTCAGACCCAAAGCCCCTAGATTCAAGGGGAGGCTGAGTCCCTTTAAAAAACAACCCTGTAAGCCTGGACAACATGGCGAAAACCCATCTCTACATAAAGCAGAAAAATTAGCTGGGTGTGGTGGAGCATGCTTGTAGTCCCAGGTACTTGAGAAGTTGAGGTGGGAGGATCACCTGAGCCCGGGGAGGTCAAGGCCGCCGTGAGCCATGATCACCCCACTGCTCTCTAGCTTTGGCAACAGTGAGACCCTGCCACAAAACAAAACAAAACAAAGCAAAACAAAATACAAGCCTGCAGAATTGCTACAATATATGATTAAATGTCCCTCTGAGTCTTCTTTAATGAGACCTAATGCCATTAACTAGAGATCCAGGCCTTTGGGAGGTGACTAGACACTATGTCTGGATCGATATAACTCTTGGGGGCCCAAAAATGCCACTGTGGCCTACCAAATATGGAACCAGTTGGTCTATGGGCTTATCCTGTAGTTATTTCCGCAGTTCCTGAAAGAATAATTGGAACAGACATTCTACCAGAGGCAGAATTCCTGCACTGGCTCTCTAAATCCATGGGATCAGGGTCATTATGGCAGAAAGAGTTAAGAGGAAGTCCGCCTGGAACTTTCCCCTTCTTACCAACATAGCAAACCAGAAGCAATGCTGCATTCCTAGGGGAATTACAGAGAATAGTGTCATCACATCAAAGACTTGAAACATGGGAATATCTATCATATACCCATTTAATTCCCCTATTCGGCTTGGGCAAAAGCAGAATGGATATTGGGAAATGGTTGTGGATTTCAGAAAACTTAGTTCAGGTGTGACTCCAATTGCAACTTCTATTATAAATTAGTGTCTTTACTAAAGCAAATCAGCAGAACCTCTAGCATTTGTTATGCAGCTGTTGATCTGACTAATGCTTTTCTCTCCATACCAAGTTGCAAGGACTAACAGAAGCAGTTTATTTTTACCTAGCAAGGTCAACAGTACACATTCACTGTCCTGTCTCGATGCTTCTGTATCAGCTTTCAAGCTCTCTGCCATATTACAGTGAGCAGAAATCCTGATTGTCTTGACATTACATAAAACATGACTCCTGTCCATTACATTGACCTTATGCTTGCTAGATCTGATGAACAGAAAGTAGCAATCAATTTGGAAGTCTTAGTAATATATAAGCAAACCAGAGAATGTGAGATAAGCCTGAGGGGCCTGCCGTCTCAGCCACCTCAGAGAAATTTCTGAGGATTCAGTGGTCTGGCCCTTGTTAAGATAACCTTTCTAAAGTGACAGAAGTTGATGCACCATCTACCATGATTAAACACTTGGTAGACAATGTTGGATTTTGGAGGCAAACACATTTTTAGCTTGGACCTTCTAAGGAGTCACACATAAGGCTGCTAATTTCAAATGGGGATCAGAGCAAGAAAAGGCTCTGTAATATGTCTAGGCTATAGAGTAAGATGCTATTCTACTTGGTCCTTATGATCCAGCAGATCCAGCGATACTCAAGAGTGTGTATCAAATGTGGATGGTCAATAAAACCTTTGGCAAAACATCATACTGAATAGGGAAAAGCTGGAAGCATTCCCCTTGAAAACCAGCACAAGACAAGGATGCCCTCTCTTGCCACTCCTATTCAACATAGGATTGGAAGTCCTAGCCAGAGCAATCAGGCAAGAGAAAGAAATAAAGAATATTCAATCCTGTTTGCAGACATGATTCTATATCGAGAAAACCCCATAGTCTCACCCAAAAGCTCCTTCAACTGATAAACAACTTCAGCAAGATTTCAGGAAACAAAATCAATGTACAAAAATCACTAGCATTCTTATCCACCAACGATCAAGCTGAGGGCCAAATCAGGAATGCAATCTCATTCACAATTGCCACAAAAAGAATAAAATACCTAGGAATACAGTTAACCAGGGAGGTGAAAGATCTCTACAATGAGAATTACAAAACACTGCTCAAAGAAATTAAAGATAACACAAACAAATGGAAAAACATTCCATACTCATGGATAGGAAGATTAAAATGGCCATACTGCCCAAAGCAATTCACAGATTCAATACTATTCCTATCAAACTACCAATAACATTCTTCACACAACTAGAAAAAACTATTTACAAATTCATATGGGGCCAGGCATAGCAGCTCATGCCTATAATCCCAGAAATTTGGGAGGCTGAGGCAGGCGGATCACTTGAGGCCAGGAATTTGAGACCAGCCTGACCAACATGGAAAAACCCTGTCTCTATTAAAAATACAAAAATTCTCTATTAAAAATACAAAAATTAGCAGGGCATGGTGGGCACACATCTGTAGTCTTGGCTACTCAGGTGGCTGAGGCACGAGATTCACTTGAACTTGGGTGGCAGAGGTTACAGTGAGCCAATATTATTCCACTGTACTCCACTCAAACACACACACACACACACACACACACACACACACACACTCATATGGAACCAAAAAAGAGCCTGAAAAATAACCAAGGTAATCCTAAGCAAAAAGAACAAAGCTGGAGGCATCACATTATCCAACTCCAAACTATGCTACAGGACTACAATAACCAAAACAGCATGGTATTGGTATAAAAACAGACACACAAATCAATGGAACAGAATAGAGAGCCCAGAAATAAGGCCACACAACTACAACCATCTGATCTTTGACAAAGCTGACAAAAACAGGCAATGGGGAAAGGGCTCCCTATTCAATAAATGGTACTGGAATAACTGGCTAGCCCTATGCAGAAGATTGAAACTGGACCCCTTCCTTACACTATATACAAAAATCAATTCAAGATGGATTAAAGACTTAAATATAAAACACCAAACTATAAAAACCCTGGAAGACAACCTAGGCAATATCATT